GTACGGTTCTGCAAGTGGACATGCTGTCCTATCTACGACCAAAGAACACGTCATTGTATCGCAGTGGAATAATATAATTCTGATGAATAGTTTTACTGCTCAACAGTGATCAAAAGGGCTTTGAATGGTGGCCACGATTTAAAAAAATTTCTAAACGTAGATAAAAAGATGAAATCTCGTGGCGTCAAACAATCCCGTCAAGGGGGTACGCCTCCGCATTCGACTTCCATTCAGAGCCGTAGTGGCGTATTGAATGTGTATGCGGCCTATACAATGACAAGCGGTGGCCAGCAGGTGTACTTTTATCCTGTCAGAGTACCAACTGACCCTGGAAAGATGGAAGGGTGTTTATCCCGAGGCCATGTGTGTGTGAAGTGCACCCTCTCACCACTACAGCACCTCCGCCCTCAGACACTAATGTACTAGTGAAAACAAACCAAACACCTTTCACCGAAATTACAAGCGGATCTGATCAGTGGATTGAAGAGTTGAAGGAGACATGACGATGCTACAATCAAGAGATCCCTCATACCTGCGAATTACTATACATACTTAGAATTTGAGCTAAACCACATGATTTGGTTTGTTGTCATCTACAGTGAAACAAACCATCACAGTCATTCATGATGGCTACAGAGATTGGCGACTCCCTACCAATCACTATATTTGTAGTTTCAGTCATTTCTCTATTAACAAATGCCGTCCTCTTTATTGTATATATTCGTTGTCCTCTAAGAAAGATGAACTCATATAGATATTTTTTCCTACTCACTATTATGGAGGATACTCTTTACTCCATTGGATTAACACTCGATGTACCGGTAAGAATCATCATTACTACGCACATATTTTGTAAATGGCCTAATTCGACAACAGAAACTGGAAATCACGCTAATTTCCCCCATGATCTCCTATTAGACAGAGATTTAAATGGGTTTTATGAGTAGGCTCTAGAAAGAAGGGATAACCTACAGTATGCGCTATTTACAGTACACTCTTTGAAAGTAGTGCTGCCACCCTGAAATAACGTTGACAGAGTATTCAACCAATACTCCCTTTGGCGTGGGGGTTGCACAAAGTGGTAAGTGTTCTTTAAGCACTGAGAAGTACAATTTTCACAGCTTTTTAATGATGAAGTTATGACGAGAACGGAAGGAACTTTATGACGTTGGTTCACCAACGGTCTGGTAACAGAATCGTGGATCGGAAAGCCACTCGGGATAGCCAAAATTCCATTATGAGCGGCGGGGTTGCCACCACATCAGCTCCTGATGGGAGATGGTTCTTCGGTCAGACTACGTATGTCTTCTGTAAAGAGAACGCTTGGTCTATTGAAGTCATTCTGGCTAATCAGTTCTAGGATGTCAAATCGAAAGCAGTAAATTGTGTTTTCGAAAATAAAAAGATTAGCAAAATGGTAAATAATTTAGAAAAACCTCTCTTTCAGCGAGTCGTCTCAAAAGATTCTGTGATGATATTTATCTCTACGGGTATAGTGAGACAACAACCGTTTTCGAATATCCTACATTTGACTTACTGTATGATGTTCTTCATCGTTGCTGTCACCATAACTAACAGCTTTATTTATCGCTATATGCTGTTGTGCAGGTGCAGAACTTTTCTGAATAGGAGCAATTTTTGACTGTCATTAGCTCGAACTCTCTTGGCACACAATGTAGAGAAGGAACGCGTCTACAATCGCAAATTCAACCCCCTCCCCCCTCACCCTCCTTCGTATGGCATATGAAACAAAACCAAATGGAAAAAAGGCTGATATGGAGTGTTATATAGGGTTAGCGGCTGTACTGGTTGCATATCGCGCCTATCGCTGGCCAAAAGCTCGTCCAATCGTCATGCAACTTACTTCCTCACATGCTCCAACCCCTAGTTTTACAACTCCTTTCGAATCCTTATGTTTCCCTAAATATGCCGAATTTGTCTAAAACCAGAACCTCAAAATTATGGTGAACTGTGCCTTTGATGTCAAGGTAACCTCTTCCGCAAAATAGCCCTATTGGTTATGGTTCAGCCTGGCCTCAAGCATGGAGATCGACTTTCAGCTCATGCTATCATTACGGATGAAGGGAGTAAAAGCAAAAGTAGCAAACGATTTCGCCTGCAATTACGAAAATATCTCTTTTCAGAACCAACCTTTTTCAAAAGTTCTCTACAAAGAAAACCATATTAATCGGTTTCATAGTGAATTTTGTCATAATTGTCAATATATTTCTGGTGATATACATTTCATTTTGGAACGATGAAAGTTTTTCTGGTTTTGTGGCTAACCACGTCGATATCCCAGGAATCAACGTCAGAGAGGCCGCTTTCTTTGGGTTCTCTCTGAAGGTGAGGGCAATTCCAATAGGTATTAATCTGTCACAACTGAATGATGTCAAGTTCTCATAGTAATGTTCAGGGTTCCCTTATCAAAAGGTTCCTGAACATCATGATGTACTTTGTTCTGAATCTGTTCATTATGTTGAACCGAAAAAGAGTGAGGTGTATTTTCAGTACGGAATGGACGCGTTCTGTCTCAGCTTGGTTATTGAGTTAGTACTTCTATTGATTGTAATCTGTCTCATTAATATTTATTGTGCAAAAAAGATAAGGGATTTTCTGAAAAATGCCAAGCAGAGTAACAACTTTTTATCGCTACAACGTCAAATTTTTATTCTACTTCTTTTACAGGTGGGTTTTTTGACATTACACATTACTTGTTCGTACGAATCGAAAAAACAAGGATTAAGGGATAGGAAGGTGGACACTAGATATAAGTGAGAGGGAAGGGGACAACCTAAGAGAAGCAACTGGTTCGTATGTTTGTAAAGCAAGTGAGAAAGTAGCCTACGCAGTAGTCTGTGAAATAGCAAAGAGGTCTGTTGTCTACCGAAATGGCCTTCGAGCAGCGTTGGTTAGAACTGATGTGGTAAAGCTCTTACCTCTTAGTGTTTTGACTGTAGCACCTCCACTATGAACGGAAAGGATTCCAAACTCCCCATTCCAACAAATCAGGTTTCGAACTTGAGTGGAGTCGGGATGAAGTTTGATGGGGTGAGCATAAGTTGGCTGGATTCTTTCAAGATCTCTGAAAAGGGAACCTTTGTACACTTTAGGTCAGCTTTTTTATTGAAGCGAGCTTTGTCATAACAAAATCTGAACAGCCAAAGTAGGCATACCTGGATCTTGTATAACCGTGGCAATGTGTTCTGTTTTGAATTCATTAGTATTTCATAGGTTCAGACTTTCTTAAAGTAATCATTATTTCAGGCAGCTTGTCCTGTTGTATTCCTAGTAGCTCCGTATTGTATTGCAATGTGTTTTTTATTTACTGGTATCGGCTCTACTCTTCTCATCACGAACATGATTTCAATTTCGCTCGCATTATTTCCAGTCTTGAATCCTATCGTAGTAATTGTATTTGTAAAAGAATACAGAGATTTCATATTTGTTGTCATGAAATTAAGAAAACCTCATGAGCAAACAGTGAAACTCTTCTTTCGAAGCACTACTAGAGCACTAGATACTCACCGAACATTTTCTATCCGACCAGCTTCTTCTTGAAATTTGGAAATGGTGTTCTCGTGCCTGTTTGTAGTTGTTAGTGATTTCTGTTATATGCTGGGTTTTTCTAGTAGTCACTGCGTATATGTCGATGTGTATGTAAACATGTAGGGTCACATCAGCTCGTTGATGATTTTGAAATAAAGAGCTTTTCTACGAATTCGTTCTACCAAGGGTACATTCGAAACTATGAACGAAGAAGCACATTGCCAAAAAAGGGGCCTGTTCTCCCTCGTCCAATGTAAAAAAATTGTTTAGCAGGAGAAAGCATTCCAAGCGGGGCTTCGCTGTAGTTCTTGAGGCTACGCCAGTTCGAATCCTTTTGCTCAGACCTCAAGAAATGTTTTAGTAGTATTTTTACACTGTTTCGCCGTACAGGTTTGTTATGGTGAAACCGCTTTATTAGGTCGTTTCGAAACAGTTTTAGTACGGCAAAACAGTTTAAAAACATTCTGTGATATGCCCAGGTTTCAAGAAGACGGAACATGGAAACTACTACGCCATGTTTTAGTAGTCCTTGATGAAGGTTATTGAGGGTATTACGAGGTTACTCCAAATATGTGATTGAAATAGTGGTAACAGAAATGATTAACGCTTAGCGATGGATAACACCGATCGGGAACAATATGAGATTTTTTTACAAGAGGCGACACCGTGTTTATCCGTGTACTTCCTAAAGGTGTCTCCTCTGCCACATTATATGGCTCTCGATGTACACGGCAATACGAATGACCTGAAAGTATCCACGGCGATGGAGCATCATTCATAAATACTTCGTCTATGTTTACAAGTTTTTCTGTATGAACCTATCCCTTTACGTCCATCGTCTATCGTCGATGGAACCTTGTTCTTCTTCGGCCAATTGGAAAATGTGTCAAAGCAGATGAGAAGACATCCCAAGAGGAGCGTCACCATAAATTACAAGGCTACAGCTGTTCGAGCTTTCTTGCTCGAACATCAAGAAAGCCTCCAGTAACATTCGATTAAGGTTGCTGAGGAGCTCTCCAAAAAAAGTTACAGATGTAAGTGTGATGTGATGACTTGACCTCGATATCGTAGTTATAGTAATAATCAGTAATATGTATGTAATGAGTAGCATAGCCTGATAAGAATATGAAATTCTCCATCACCGTAATCGTCCCCGTACCTTCATAAGCGCATGGAACGACCCAAAATAGATGTAAACTTGTTTCGACGGCTGCCTCCTTTGCCATGTTGAGTGGCTCTCCAAGTGATCCGAAATTCAATTCAAATCAATTCATAACTCGCAATCATCCATACCATTAAAAATATTTACTGTATTTGAAATTTTATTTACTCAGAAAGTACTCCTTTATGCCCACATTTTTTCATAATAACTGAAAAGTAGTAATACTTGGACAAATCGCACAGCAAAACACAAGTTTTGTCATTCTTCAGTTTGGTCTTTGATATTCAGATCAATGAAGAGCCGCTTGCTTGCATACATAAGCACGCATTGTTGTAGCGCACTGAACATCATTCCAATGACGGAAATCCCCATCACTGGCAGGATTTCTGCTCAAAGAATCAGTGTACATCTGAAGAACAGAAAATCAAGCCAGGCGTAGTAAATTCTAGAAGCCACAACAACTTTGTGTGGTAAAGCAAGTACCTGAGCACAATTCTGAAGGCCTGTGATATCTTGTGGTTTTCCAGGAGCCCACATAAGGTAGTCAACTGTAGATCCATCGGTCCATGCCCATGTACTATTTTCAGGTGAATTTGGTTTTCTCAAACCAATCCATGTTAATTGCTTTTCATTTCTGTATTCAATGCCCATGTGAGTCAAGCCTAAAGTTCAAGACGATCAGGTGTCGATCAGCACCGATTCGCTAAAAGAAATGTGAGAGAAAGAACTCCGAACTGGATACGAATACATTCTCTTCATCGCTGTGAATGGATGCAAGATGTCCGCCCGTTGATTGACACACTGTTTCGGCTTGATCAAACGCTGAATCTAGAAACGCCTAAAGAGCAATCCATCAGAGAATATTCTATTCGTCCAGGTTAGGAGAGCCTCCACATGGCTAGAAAGCACCGAGTCGCGTGAATTGGTTAATGAAGTGAAATGTCTCTCTTCACAAAATTTGCTGAAATACCTTGTAACAAGAATCCGTTTTCGAGTAGTACGTCCATTCCGACGGGCAGTGTCCCGGCACAGCTGAATGCAATTTTGTGGCTCTGATAGAACTTCGAAGTACAACCTTTTGGTAATTTTAAGCCTCTAAACTACTTCTGCTGCTTGATGTTGAAATAGAAAAAGACCTCTCAGGGAAGCTTCTGTAGGTCCTGGTTCTAAAGCCGATTATTTTTTTGCTTTAGCCCTTCCTTTGACCTCAAAGATCCTTCTCAGTGGGCCTCAAATTCCTGCAAATGCTTCGAGGCGCCAGCATGATTTACCTTCGAAGCTTTGCAAGCAGAAACAAACCCTAGAACCTACCAGGGCAAGCTGGACAAGTAGTAGGTTGAAGAGCTGGCGGGCAAGTTAGTCTTGTAGGAACTGCCAATTGTTGAACACACACGTATGGGTAAGCATCCGAGCATGACACACTTACCCATGTGGCATCTGTCGCATTTTCTGCTGCACACTGAGCACTTACATTAGGCTCCCCTAAAGGTAAAATGAGCATTCACTGAAAACATACTCAATCGAAAAGGGACTCATACCTGGCGCCCATCTTGTGTAGCTAAGTGGACTACCGTCAATCCATGCCCAGTAGTTCTGAGCTATTCGATTCAAACCCGTGTAGAATGGGCCTTTTATTCCCTGTTGCGTTGCATACACGGAAAAAATTGATTTACCTATCGCTCTTTTGCTAGAAAACAGGTTAGAGGTACATTTTTTTTTCTCCAGCCGCATTCAAGTAGGACTATTTCCCCACGATGAAAATCAAAGTGGAAATTGGAGCCATCGTTAGCAGGTATTCCATCATCCTTGGTGAAGGGAGATTCGTCGAAATTTCATGATCTTAGGGAAGGTATAGGCGTAGGAGTATTATGTGAGCTACCTTAGGTAGGTTTGTGTGATAAGATCATCCATCCTTCGAAAAGCTCTTCCCAAATGATTGATAAGATTTTAAATGCTACTGAGGGGATCAACAAAATGAAATCATTTTAAAATGATAATGGGTACTCAGACGAAAATCCCATTACAACCTAAATAGGATACTCCTTACCTTATACATTATTTTAATTTGTTCTAAGTTCTAACAGAATGCTTTCCCCTTTGACAGCCCCGCTCCCCACTTGAACCCTGAGTCAGTAAATTTCTGTTTCTTTGCTTCTATTCTTCTTCTATTTGCCAGCTAGATGAGCTATGAAGACGGGATCCTTATGATTTATGAACCCTGCTCTTTCTGTGGGTTTCATAAATTTTTGATTACCGAACAGATTTCTGATCATTGATAGTAATTTTCGGTGAAAATAGATAGAAGTTCTCGAACAGAAGTGAAGACAGTAACAGTAATCGTAGAATCATGAAAAACCATAATTCGGGGCATTTTAAAATAAATGACATGCTTGCCGATCTTTGAGCCATACACCTTGTGTCTGTCTGACGAAATGAATACTGTGTATGCTCAAAAATCGGCAAGCATACCACTTATTTTGAAATGCCCCGATTTCTGGTCTTCTCATGATTTTAATGTTGCTATCACATTGTCAGTGATGTGTATTGTCAATATATATGGCAATTTTTGAATTCAAAAACAAATTTGCCCACTTCTACGATAACGATAACGGGATAACAGTTGTACTGAGCCAAATTCCTATGCCCACGCATATACTGAAACGCGAGTAACGGCACAACTATCCATTAGAATTCTGAAATTTCCCAAAAAGGGGAAATCATACTACAATTGGCAGTATTCTGAAATTTCTCAAATGGGGAAATTGTACTACAATAGGCAGTAATGAATGAGAATCTGACATTTCGAAAAGTTCATAGTATGTAAGTTGCTGAATTGAATCAGCCCCTACTATCTTCAAAATGGAATAAGTGCAATTTGTTGAAAGAGCTCACTTGAAAGCCAAGAGTTTTCAGCCGAACTGAAGATCGAGACTAGATGAGCGCTAACCTCCTGGCAACTTTCCTCGGCCATGTAAAAGCTTTGACGGGTTTTGGTGAACTTGTAGCATCTGAAATCTCAGCATGTCTCACTAAGTTTTTCAACCTATAAGTTTGCCCTTCAAAAGGTCTGCATGGGAAAGGGGAAAAAAGCAACTACTGTCAACCAATCCTCTATTTGCTTCTCGACACGCCATTGAATGTGCATTCAACTCAAACCAAGAACTCATAGTAAAACCTGGTCAAACTTTTCTCATCGTTCTGAGTTTAATAGGAATGGATCGATTGGACTGAAGACTGTTTAGTTCATTCGAAGATGGGTGAATTCAAAATCGGAATGCTTACCTGTTGAACTGCTCCTGATAGACGAAACCGAACGGGCAACTGGCCTGTGCCAAAGGTACAACAGCAACAAGTAGCAGCCACCACATTCCGATCTAGTCGCCTTATCTCATCAGTGCGCTCGCTGCCGGCAGTCTTATTGCCAGACAAGAGTAGTTGCAAAAAAACCGATATCCTTCACAGATCAGTGAAGGTGCTCTGAGAGGTGAGCCTTTCCAAGGTTTTGAATCGATGTAGTTGCGCGTGAGCAACGATATGTGGAACCAGTATAATGAAAACAAGTTTGCTAATTACTGGGAAATTGTTTTTTACGGGAACTCA